GGTGCAGGAGGGAGAACAGATCTCACAACTGTCTCTCCGAATTTATTTCTTATGCTCCTTTCATCCTGAAGATCGAGGTACAATCGACACTTCCTTTGACACTCTCTTTGACACTCCCTTTTTCTATACTTAATCTTCTTCTTCCTGGAATTCCACAGAACCAGCCTTTTCCCTTTTATATGCACGCAGGCCTCCTGAGATAATCCATGCACTCTTTTGAATTTTGGGAGCTTTAGCTCCCTACACTTATCCTCAAATTATTTTTTTAGTCTTGGCGTCTCTTTTCTTGCCATTCTGATAGATTGTCCTTGGCTTTCCTGTCCTTTAGATAGGGCATGTGATCCTCTTCTTTATTCCTTTTGTTTATTCCTTTGTTTATTCCCTTTAATATACTTCTCATCTCAGATAATGTGTTCTTCATTTCTGACTGGTTCCCTTTTATAATTTCCATTTCCATTTTTGTTTCTTTTAATTTCTTTGTTGAAATTCTCTACACTTCCCAAAAGTTCATTAAACATCTTTATAACTAGTGTTTTGAACTCTGCATCTATTAGAGAACTTGACTCCATTATATCTGGATCTATGTTCTATTCTCTCATATAGTTTCTGCTTCTTTATCTTCCCATTTTGGCTTCCTTTCCACGTCTGTTTCTATGTACTAAGCAAAGCTCCTAAGTCTCTCATTCTTATTAGTGTGGATTTGTGAAGTAGGTGCCCAGTGGCATAATCCTGAGAGGGGTTCAGCTGCAGGCCAAATTTAGCCTAAGCCTGTGCCCCTCCAGGGCCACCAGTTAAGATTCAGTAAGCAATCCACAGATGCTGTGCTTATAGTTGCCTCAAAAGGCCACACCAGAAACCGAGGGCAGCTGCCTCCAGTGTGAGTCTCAGCCAGGAGCACCTGACTCGCTGAAGATATACCTTATATGTGGCTTGGGTGGAGCCATGAGTTAGGGGAGGCGGAGTTTCAGGGAATCTTCTGGGCAGAGTGACCTCTATTATCTAGTTTGATGACGTCACAGCTATGGCAGCACTTTGTCCAGGCACTGGGAGCGGGGAGTGCTCAACAAGGAACAATGGATACCGCTGACACTTCTGTACCAAGTGAATCTCGCTTTAGCCCTCACTCCAACAATGTCTCCCTGTAAGTCTCTGGTGCCCCCTACGCGTAGCTGAATTGGTGGTACTAGTGTTCAGAGTGAGCAGGTCTGTCACAGTGAAAATCTGCTTGTGGACGCAGCCCCTTTAAGAGGCGTCTGCCGCTGCCGCTGCCGCAGCCTCTGTCTCACTCAGCTGCTTGGGACTGGGAAGCCCTGCATCCTCGCCCTGTCCTATGTTCTTCTGTTGCAGGGTGATTTCTTGGATTTCTCCCTGGTTGTACGGTTTGGTCATCTAGATGCCAGGCGATTTTTCCTTGCTGCTGCTCCTTGTTTCTGTCACAACTTTGATTTGGTCGGCAGAGGGATGAACAGAGCCTCTATCATCTATGCCATATTTTTTTGACTTTGTGGCATGCTTTTCTTGGCTGTAGAAAGGTCATCCTATTTCTTATTTTATTTTTTTTTGAAAATAACTTTGTTGGCTTTCAACCTCATTTCTTTTCTATTGCTCATTGTTTTGTGAATTTACATCTCTTAAATGTCTAAAAGAAGCAGGGTTCAGGAGAGCTTACACAACTTCATTCATCAAGCCTTCTGTGTCTTCATTATTGTATAAAACATGGAAGGTTGTTTTCAGAATTTCCCCTTTCCCACTTTTCTCTGCACTTTTCTCCTTTTTACAGTTTTCTTGTTCATGTCCTGCAGAATTCTTATTCCATCCTGGGAGTTGCCCCTCCATGTGTGTTCTTGTACTGGAAGGAAGGATGGCTCTAGCCTTTCAGATCCATACATGGGCCCCTTGCACTTACTACTGGGTGGGGAAAAAATCCTCGTTTTTAACTGCTGTTCTCTCCATGCATTCCTTGGGAAATCTGATGCTATTTTGGTTTCCCATGTCTTCAGGTCCATCAGATGCTTTATTTCCACCCGCTGTTTCTACCTGTACTATGTTTTTATCACCATGTCTTGCAGCTATCTGTGGTTCATCCTTACTCTCCTTACCTTTTGGGGTTCGGGGGGATACCTTGTTAACTTGTTTTGTCCCAAGCATTGTCCACAGGTTTTGGTTCTGCTGTCTAGTTACTCAGTCTATAGTACCTAATGGATAATTCACACTTGATCCATGTTTAAAACAAAAGAAAAAATAAAGGAAACATTTTAGTGAGTTATTCTCAATAATTTGCACTATTGACTCTGAATTAAACACATCAACGCAGAGCAAATCAAAGTAACCCTCTCAGGAAAGCCCTAACAACCAAGCTGCTTAAAAGTAATTATCCTTAAAAGTAATTAAAGTTCCCTAAAGCAGAATCTCTGAAAACTACTTCACATATCTTAATGTTTTTAATTCATCCAATATATTTTTATTGGGAATCAATTATTTGTTGTGTATTCTATTAAATGCTATTCTGGATATAAATAAGTGTAAGTATAGTCTCTCTCCTGAAGGAGTTTCCAATCTAGCTAGAATTACATTTAATACATGAAGTAGGAAGATAATTTGTAAATAACAGTGATATAAAATATATTAATTATTTAACTCCTTGTTGCAGATTGATAATGTGACAACTCCCCTTCTCCATAGTTCTCTGTAATTTATTAAGATCACATTGCATGCACTACTTGGAGGAAAGGAAAATGGAGTAAGTATATTTTTGACCTTAGATATCATAATCTAAAACATAATAGAGGATGTTTACCTTAAGAAAAAAATTGTAAAGGTCTAAGAACCAAAACTAAATTCCATATGCATAATCGAGGTAGGAAACATAATCCCTTTAAGTTCTTTCACCACCGTAAGCAAGAACTCAATGTGTCCAATCAAGATTTATAAAACAGATAAATTAGAAATAATAATTTACATTAAAATGGTTCTTCAATTTATAAAATTGTTAGCGAGCTCTCATTCTATATTTGTATTTGATTTCCTTTTTTCCTGTTTGCATAAAGTTACATCTCCCCTCCCCCTTTACAGCTTGGTTTTGGTGTCTCATTTGACTTTCTGGTGATTTTCTGTGAAGAGTTTAGTACAGTGTATGTGACCAGGTCAGGAGTCAGCTCTGTCAGAGATCTGGGGACTAGATAGGATTCTAAATTGTCCCCTAGGGTGTCTCTCCAAGTATGCACTCTGTTGAATCCTCCCCTTGAGCGAAGGTAGAATCTGTGAATGCGATGGGATATAGCAAAGTGAAGGGATACTGTAAAGGTTAATTAAGATGCCTAAGGAATTGACATTAAGTTAATCAAAAGAGATTATCTTAGGTGGGCCTGATTTATCACACGGATATTTTAAGAGGGTCTAGAGAAGAAACAGAAGCAGTCAGAGAGATTAGAAGCAGCAGCAGCACTTTCTCCTGTTGTCTTTGAAGAAGCAACTGCCATGTTGTGGGGAGGGTTACAAGGCAGGGCATAAGTGAGAATACTTTAGAAGTGATGCCGCATAATTCCTCTTGGATATCAGTGTGCATAGCTTGTCCCAGTTTTGGTGATGTTAAAATAGTTCATCTGGACATATTCGAAAATATTACAATATTCCTAATTAATAATAATTACCATTTACTGCTTACTTACCATATACTAGGCATTTTGTTGGTTGCTTTCTATCTAATTTTCTCACATTACATCTCAGTACATTAACTATACTCATAGATTTGCAAAAACATACCAGGATTGGTTGGTTGGAAGCCCTAACTATTGGTCTGATCTCCAGTTTACCTCTTGTAACACGGGGTGATAATTCCTGCTCTAATTTACAGGCTTATTTTGAGGGTTATTTCAAATAATGGATGTGAAAGCACTTTGAGAAGTAAAACAGGCCATGCTACACTGTTACAACATTAGTAACATGAGTTTAAAAAAGAAAGAAAACCTATAATAAATAGTTACTCTAACCGTCTCATTTATTCACCTCACATTTCTTGAAGGAACTTTGCCAGGCCCTGAAGAAGACGAAGATGAAAGACAGTGTCACTCCTCCAGGAATGCGATCTGGTGAGGGGGAAAGGCAGAAGAACCAAGCAGTCACAGTTGTCAGGGACAACGCAGCAGAGAGCAACTCGTCTTCCCTAACCCAGCAGCTTCCCGCGAACTGGCTCACTATCCGCGGGGTGCGCCCGGGCCGGGGACAGCTGTCCCCGCGCGGAGCCGGCCTAGCGTGGCTCTGCGGCGAGCGTCTGGGGCGCCGCTCCGTCGGGGCGCTGCGGGGACGCTGCTCGGCTGGGGTGCCGCAGGGGCGCTGTCGGCGGGAAGCCCGCCTCTCCCTCCCGACCTGC